ACCCACACCCACACCCACACCCACACCCACACCCACACCCACACCCACACCCACACCCACTTCCCACACCCACACCCACACCCACACCCACACCCACACCCACACCCCACACCCTCAGCCTTGGTCTCGGTACGTCCCTGTTCCACACCTCACTAACACCTGTAGAGCCACACGTATAATTAGTTCAAGAGTACATATTCCAATGATTTTAAATAAGGCTATGGGTGTGGATGTAGATGTGGGAATGTGGGTAAATCTGAATGAGCAGAGGACCCATACTCAAACATCTACACCTGCATATCCATACTCACAGCCACTCACCCACTCACATTCACACTCACACCTTTACTTATTACACCGTACGTTTCTTTTTTCAAATGACTTAGTTCATGCTGTTGGAATATGATAACACCATCTATTTTATTTCTGTCCACATCGTCTTCTTTCTTCAATACCTCTTTAGATAAGCACTCTCTTGATAAAAATTAAGCAGCAGGAGTCAAAAATTCGCCGAAAGACAAGAAGACGATTAATATTCAAGAAGAAATCTTCGTTCTCATGCACTCAACGAACGGAGTGGATCCGGGTGGGAGAGTAGGGTCGATGTAGAGTGTGAGTTTCCTCAGAAGACAAGACGAGTTACAGACCCATATCTAAACTCCCACCGATGTGTAGTGACATCCATCCATAAAGCCACACACCTGCACGCACACCTACATCCTTGTTTGAAACCATTGGGAGAAGTATTCTTGAATTAATTATAAGTGTGGCTATGCAGGTGTAGATAAGGCAAAGAACAGAGATGTACTGAGACCGAGACTGAATTGAGATTATCAGTCTCGTTCATTCTTAGCTGAGACTGACTGGGAATGAGACTAAACCAAGATCGAGAGATTCGATCTCGGTACTTCCCTAATGTGAGAATGCGGGTACGTTTTCTTTTCTCCAAGGGTTGCTCAAAGGGACAGTGCTCACACGAAAATCGAGTTCTTTCCCCTGAAACTCGCGATCATCGCCGGACGAACTATATGCTTGCCCTCCTGAAACAATATTTCGCTCCACCAAAATTGCAAATCGCTCCTCCAGAGAAAAAAGCTTAAATAAAACACAGCCACTCTTACCAACAGTTCATATTCACACCAACATCCTACATCCACAGTTCGCATTCACATCGGCATTTACACCCAATGATTGTTTACATCGTACACCCTAGGTGTAATAAATACTTCATTTAGTTAATGTTTTGACTTGAAATGTGAAGAGGCTCAAAAGGCCACAGTCTCGACCGTGAAGACACTTAAATGCCTAGGGTTCTAGTTTGTAGATTCAACTATTGGCCCTCAAATATCGGAGGCTCAACTGTCATGCTATTTTCTAAAAATAAATGAGATATTTGTATTCTCTACACTTGGTGCTGTTAAATTATAAAGATTTGTGACTGGAAAACGAGAAAATTTTTTTCGATACCTAAGTAGAATCTCAAGTTTCAAAAGTTGAGTTGTGATCACACGGAATACAGAATTATGAAGAATATCCACACTTCTATACTGACTTCCAAAGTAATAAAATCAGATTTAAACTTTTCGAAGCCTCCGATCCGTAATTTGACACAACTTTTGATGTATTATAGTGTGTTTAATGTGCAATAATAAACCACTAAATGAATAACCATCACCTACATGCTTTATGTTTTCTTATTTTACTATATCTTACTTGTTCGATAAGAGTTAGAGATGCTTCACTTTACTTTACTTTATCAATTAAAGATAAAGTGCCACCCCTAGATCGGAACTGATATCAGCGCTTTGGAGCTTCGTTTTTGACAAGCTTGGACGAAACAGAACTCTTGCTTAAAAAATCAATGTAGATGTGTCACTAATGTAATACAGTTCGAAAGAGGATGCTGCCTATGTGTATACCCGTAGCCGATATCACCTTTGATCTAGCAAAAGAAAAAAAGTATAAGTGGACTCTATGAATTCTCTAATATTTGTTTATTCGATTATGTGTAAATAATAACTAGAGATACAATGATTCTTTTCGTGGCGGACTATTTCAATGATTATGTGAAGGATTTTAAGGAGTATATTTGAACCCTCGAACAGCTATTGTATCTTAAAAAAATAATGCTCGTACTAAATCGGCTACTAGTTGTAGAAAAAGTGAAGCTGCCATACTTATCGACGTAAAAGTCACCCCTCTATTTCGAGCAAAACTATTATAATATGTGAGTTCAATACGTGTGGTAACTCTGAACAATTTCACCACTAAAGCGTCTTTTTCGTGTAAATCGACTGAATAATGTATTCATTACTCATGTTGAGACACTTATATCTAAGAATCAATAAAGCATGACAAAGTAGAGATGAGAAGATGCCAATATGGTACAATGCGCAAAGATAATTTCCGGTCTATATCGCTGTTTCGCCATGTTTTGTAACAAAAGCACCTGCTTTACCATTTTTGTTATCGGAGGTTGGAAGAAGACGACTTAACTAATGCGACATGATCATATGTTGAAAAGAAATTTTAGAACAAAGTCGGACGAAAAAGTCGATTGATCAGATAGTGTCAATTTTTTTCTTTTGTCTCTTTTCACCTCGATTGTTTGTCATGATTCGTCAGATATCCTTACTTTGCCATAAACATGGTTTATGCGTCATCTTGCTTCGTTTTGGTATCAAAAGAGAAAAAAAAAATGAAATGTTAATAAATTGTAACAAAAATCATTCGTTGTTGTCTATCTTGACAAAAGAACAATGTCCTTCGTTACGACTTCTAATTCACGAATTCTCCGCTTAATGCGTATTTAATTGAATTCATGACTAATTACGTTTAAGTTTAAGCCATTTTACTTCATTTTTGATTGCAGTAGCTAAGAAAATACATGTACATAAAGCGTCACGAAAAACGAAGAAAAATCAATGCATCTGTTTTAGAAAATTCTATTTAGTAGGCTACTAAGCCCACTTGGTTAATCGATATCAAGGCGAATATGTTAGCTTAATGAATCATTCTATAAACTGTCAAGATAAGTAAAAAGAAAAAGAAAAGAGCCTGCCAGACGATTTGATACCTAGATCATGCCTTTATTTTCGTATCACCGTTTTGTGTTGGTAATGATGCATCAATTCATTAGAACTTTTTACAACTTTTTGATGACAAAAAGGCAACGAGCAAAGAGAGATAAAACCAACGCTTTTGTCAGACATCACGACGAAATAAAATGAAAAGCTACCACTTATTGTGACGGCATTTAATTGATTTCAGAATTGTCCTACTTTCTTGTGTCATAGGTTGTAGACTGCTGCATATAAATACTCCACGATAAATGAAGAATGTGAGACGACACTGATTTGCGTCGAATAACGATATTGACTAAATACACTGGTTACAATAGTGCCGATCTAATTAGTTGTGACAACTTCATCTGTGAGTGCATAAATATTACTGTTTCTTCAATCGGTTCTCAAGTAATCAGAAGATATATTAAATGGCTACAGCCGTCATTGCAACGATTCCTCTGGTAAGCATAGCTCCATTTATCAACAGTGTGGCATCCGAAACTGAGAGAAATGAAGTCGTGGCTGAAGTACGAAATGCTTGTGAAAAAATCGGCTTCTTCGTCATCACTGGGCATGGGATACCGATGAAAACAGTTGAGCAGGTCTTTTCGATTGCACAGCAGTTGTTTGATTTGCCACTGGAGCAAAAGATGCTTTTGGAAGGCTCAGGTTGCGGTTACTTACCAATGGAGCGAGAAAACCTGGCAGCTACAATGGAAGTAAATACTCCTGGTGATCTCAAAGAGTCATTTAATGTCAATTCTCGGGAAGCACAAAACAAATGGCCTGATTTAGTGGATTTCAAAGCAACTTGTATAGATTATTTCGATAGAATGGTGAAGCTTGCATTCATTATTATGCGGATTTTTGCTCTTGCACTTAATCTGCCGACGGATTATTTCGACGAATATATTACACCTCCAAATGCTGTGTTACGTTTACTTAACTATCCAGCATTGGAAGGTTCGCCTTTACCTCAGCAGTTGCGATCTGGTGAACATACTGATTACGGCACCCTCACAATAGTTCGACCGGACTCCTCTGGTCTCCAGGTGTACAATCGTAGTGCACAGTGGATCGATGTAAAGGCACCAATTGATAGTTTCGTGGTAAATATTGGAGATATGATGCAACGGTGGACTAACAATAAATGGGTCTCAACACTGCATCGAGTCGCCAATCCTGCTGATGGTTATAACAATCGTCGCCAGTCAATAGTGTTTTTTCATAATCCTCGTGATGATGTTGAGATTTCCTGCTTGAATAGTTGCTACAGTAGCACGTATCCGAAGCTTCATCCTTCAATTACTGCTGGAGAATACAGAAAGCAGAAAAGTCGTAAGAGCCGGCCGTAACTACAGTTTTGGTAAAATCCTACGATTCTACACTAACACGTTTATTGTATCACATTCAGAATGATAATAACTTTTATAATTTACATGATATCTATTCCTATTATTAATTATATTTCTAAATTGAGTGTTGCTATGTCATTATGCTTGCTTCAACAATTTGAGATGTGGGTGTGCGTGTAAAGCTGTTTAACTACTTCTTACACATACATTCACACAAACCCCACCCACGCCCACGCCCACGCCCACGCCCACGCCCACGCCCACGCCCACGCCCACACCCACCCCACACCCATCCAACACCACCCATATACACACAACTCACAACCACACCTACACCCACACCCGTATTCACACCCAGCCCCACGAAGACCCACACAACCCACATCGAAACCCACATTCACATATCCACTCACACTCATACCCACACCCACAGCCAGAGGCACACCCAGACCCCGACCCAGATCCAGACCCACACCCACCCACATTCACACCCAGCCCCACGCACACCCACACAACTCACATCCACACAACCCACACCCACACCCACACCCTACAGGACTTATACCAACAGCTCGAAAAGATATACGGTTTACTAATGTCTACCAGCTATCTTATTTTATTTTATTTGAATTAAAACGACTCATTCTACTTGTTTTTAATTTCAATCCATTTTTTATTTGGACTTCATATATTTATGTTATGCAAATTTAACTTAATATTTCACTAGGTATTCGTACAACTCCTGCAATTGATAATTATTCGTATTTTGGTCAGCTATCCGATTATTTTTTTACTTTTTATTTTATTTTATTTAATCTTAAAAACGTCATCATAAGATAAATAGTATACCTGAAACTGACGAAGCTGTTGGTTAACGGCTCAATAATTGTTGGGATGAAAAAGAAAATCGTTTAAAAAGAATTTTATATTAATCATCAATTTGAAATACCATCAAAACGTTTTAATAACCAACAAATTGAATCAAATATACATCGTTTAACTTTTAAATTATAGCTATTATTTACAATATTTTGGTCTTATGTTATATTTGAATTTCTCAACATGAAACTTTATGTTGTACTTGTATGTACATTTCATTCAATATTAGATTCATTTGCAAATGGTTTAATTGATTCTGTTTCTCAACTTGACTTAAGCTTTCGTGAAAATGAATTGAAATAAACAAGACCACCAATAATTTTATTTTACCTTATTTTATTTATCAGTTTTTCGTTAGCTATCCGTTGTACTTTTGTTATGTTTCGTTTATCTATCTGTTGTCTCATATTGTCCTCGTGTTCGTTTTTCCTTTTGGCTTCATGTAGAGTATTTTTTCAATTATTCTTTAATTGCTTTTTAATTATCTTCTTCTTATATTTTTATCCACTGTGAATGCTTACTTATTGCTTATTATATGTTTTTATTAATGCAGAGCCCGGAGGAGTGTTTAATTATTAAATAAATAACACGAAACTCGTCGGCGAAATATTAACTCTGCATTATTATTTTTAATTCTTTTAAATTTAAATATAATTTTTATTTTATTTTCGACTGCTACATTGGTTGCTGAAAAGCAAAAGTTGAGAATAGCAGATTGATTTGTTTTCTTCGTTAAGATAAATAGATCGATCTGTTTTCGAAAACATTTACGGCTTTTGCCATAGGGCTCTTCGGAACTTCGATAGCGGCAGGTTCATATCTTCCAATTTCATTTCTGTTGCCATCGTACTTGATTTTTGCACAACGGCAAGACATTGCTGCTTGTGGATAATAAGGATATCCTGTCTGCATATTGAACTCGGCCGAGGATTCTATATTGAAATGCAGTCCAATAGCTGTACCTGAATACACGTCAGTAGGTGAAGCTGTCCAAACTCCCGAGATACTAAATCTTAATCTAAGAGGCCCGTCAGCTGTAGTCATGGTTAGATCTTTTCCTCCTTCAAAGCCTCGAATCCCATTATTTGGATAACTGCCAATTTTATATCTGTTATCGTTGAAAACAAACCCAAATCTGGTGGCAGGATAGTTATGAATTATAGATCTGCTTCCCGGATAGAATTTGTTTGCAGGTGAATAAGCATCTCTTTTAACGTGATGTACACTTGAAGGTGCTAATCCGTATTGTCCTGTACCGGAAGCCTGATAACCATTATAATACCAAGGATTCTTACCGTGAGATAATGGCCAGTAAGAATAGAAATTGCTTAACTGAGGCAGTGTAGAGTGCGTGTCTGCATAGAAAGCATCAGGAATTCTCCATCCTTCAGGACATGGGTCAAAAGGTGATTTTTCTGTACCGTGTCCCCATCTGTCTGTAAACTGGCCATTTTCATCAGATACCCAATCTCGTACTTTTTTAAACTGGTTTGTTTCCGTAGAAGAATTTTGGTATAAGAAGTATAGCGGATTGTTTACAGAATACATCAATACTTTCTTAATTTTATTCTTCTTAGAATCTGTAGATGAAAACACTGAAGAATAATCAGTTGAAAATTCTTTAGAGTAATTGGCCATATAATTAGTGTTGTCAATAACTCCTGAATAAGGAATTATCCCATTACTGATCGGCCCGCTTTGCATGCGGATTGTATATCTGTTCAAGTTTTGATAAATGCTTCCTTGGCTGCCTACTGCTGTTCCAAAATAATAATGGCCACCAGCATTGAAGAAAACAGGCAGAGGATCCTTTCTTCCCCATTGGAAATGCAGGCCTCCACTTTTACTGATCTGAGGAACATAGCTATAGATTGATGATGCACCACCGCTTGTAGCCTCTTCTGGGAATATCATTAAAGCTCCCAGATCTCTATCCATAAAGGTGGTTTTCAACGGAACTCCAATACTTTTCACAGGATTTACAAATGCTGAATTGGCAATATCTACAATGCCTCCGTTTGCTGAAGTTTCAGTTTCGTAATCTAGTGATCCTACAACTGTTTCAGGAGCCCAGATATGCCAGCTCCAAATAATAGGATCTTGCATTTTGCCGTTTGCCCACTGACCGGAGTTTCCTAAATGGAAAGCGACAAGAGCATTACCAAATTGATTTTCATTTAAAGTAGTTCTAAGTTTAGCTGTTTCTTTATTTCCATCTATGATCTCCATATTTTGTATCAGACCTATATTGGTAGTCCATACTACAGAGCTTGATTTAATATTTCCTTGAGGATATTCCTCTGTTGTACTTAGATGTAATTTATATATTGCATACGCTTTACGTAAAGGAATATCAACAATGCGGTCTTTATCTGTCGGACTTGCTGTTGTCACTGAGCTATTAGTATATTCCACATAGCTGTTCGGATCTTTTGCCCAGTTTTTCAAAGTTGCTAATGGATATTCTTCATTTGGTGTGCTGATGAATTCCGTTTCAAAAACAGCAGGCATATAATCGTTATTAGGATCCTTAATACATCTTATTCCAGCTGTTTCATGAGTATTGCCGTCATGAGAAAGGGAATTCATTGTGTACCATCCGAAATTATTTGCTGTTTCTTTTACGTTCCCAGGATCTGAAATATATCCAAACCCTCTTGGTCCATACCAGGGCCCGCCTCCGGATGCTCCCACTGAGAATGTAGATGAGCCCAATGCGCCGTCTGATGAACCGTCCTGATATACGATCTTAGGTGTAACTAATCCGGATGTTGTTACGCGGTTAATAGTTACATAATTAGGATAATATTCATAGTTTCCATTGATTGGAATCAGCCCTAAGTTACGGCCAGAAACTCCTGTGAAGTCGTAACCCAATCCAGGATATATCTTTATTCCTGGGAATCTAGTACTTGAAGTTGCCGGATTAGATGTGAAAGTATCTACATCATTAGCCCCGCCGATTCTTCCCCAAGGGGAAGCATTATTGTCATTATAAGGGCTGCCGATATTGTCATAATATGATGGAGTTCTCCAGTTGCACGGACAAGGGTCATAATGTGATTTCATTGCGTAACGCTTACTTTCTTTTGCTAGCGCAGGGTTATTTAAGTCACTTATTTTGCCTCCCCGTGTATCTCCCCAAAGATCCCAGGCAACATTTTTTGAAGCATCTGTGCTGAATTCATTTCTATATTTCTGTTTAGAGAACCATGTTGTACGTCTTTGATGATACCATGTATTGGCACTGTTTTGAACAAACATATCTTCTTCATTATTATTCACCGTCTCATTATATTTTTTAACATAAAGCGGCGGAATGATCATGTGAATTGGATTTTGAACAGAATAACGAATATTTCCATTTGGCGTATCAAATCCTGTATTGTCTTGCGGATATAAGTTTCCTCTATATTTTACAGGCAATGCGGAAGTAGATCCTGTGGTATAAACGGCTGCTACATTTCTTATGTTTCCAACTTCTCCTGAAATTTCATACATGGTGCCATCTTTGTGCATAAGAGCAGGAAAAGGGTCTTTTCTTCCCCATTGATATTGTAATCCCTGAGATTTATGCCAATCGTTACCCAGGAAGTTCGCGCTTGTTGCCCCAAGGTTTCTGTCCATCCATTTCCAATCTGTCACAGGGAGTCCATTTTTATCTTCTTCGAAACCATGATGATAGGTGCTTCCGTTTATAGTTGGGTCATCTGTTATCCAAACATGCCATGTCCAATAAATTTTATCGTTTACTCTATATGAAACTACTGCGTTTCCTTCTTCAAGTTTATTAACTAAAACTTTAATCTTAGCATTTTCACCTGTTCCTTCTAAAGCTACAGATTTAATTAGTCCTGGCTCGTCTTCCCAATATAATCCTGCTTTAGCTGTTCCTGATGGGATAGGAGTGTAATTTCCATTATCATCTTTCATGAACTCACCACCCTTAGACCACATTTCATAGGCTTTTTTTACAGGAATGTAAAGACCGTCAACTTCGCTGCCGTTTTTATCTTTCCCTGTGAAAATATAGCTGTTCGGTGCTTTTGTCCAATCTACTACAACGCAATCTGGAACGGCTCCAGGATTTGCTGCAAAACATCCGGAAGCACATTCCGAAGTATCATCATACGCTGTAGAGTTTCCGAAAATACCGGAATATTTAATGAATTTAGAAATTTCTTTTTCAATATCTTCCATTGACCGGATAGATGGATAGCCGGGAGTAAAATTTACGAAGTCGTTTCGCAATGCGCCCATACCATATAATGTCATTTCAGAAGTATTTGAAATGATAAGGTTTTCTGATCCAGGTCCTCTGCGGCCGCCACCCTGATCATTACCGTAGCCAAAAAATAATGACCCATAATTGCTTGAGCCTGTCAGATTTATAAAAGTTCCATCGTTTTTATAAACCCTGAAACCTGTGGTCATACTCGATACGAATACTACAGGTTCCTGATCGCTGATAAAGTCTGATAATTTTTCATTTATAGTGTTATATAAATTGAAATATCTACTCTGGAGACTGTTAGGATTTTTAAAGTTATGATATCCGGGACCGTTTGAATCACCAGGCCACTGGCTGAATTTTATAAAAAATCCGTTTACTGAAAATTTTCCTGCAAACATATATACAGGATCTTCATAGCTGTATAAATACGGATTCGGATGTCCTGGGCCGACATTGTAAATAAATTCAGGAGTGGAGCCTAATGTATCACTTATTTCTCCCTGATTTATCATTTTTATGGATTTTGCACCATTGGTGTCGATAAGTAATGCTGCAGGATTTTTAGGAGAAAAAGTAATATTGTCCTTCTTATTATCCAATGAATAGCCTGTATTGAGTCTATTCCAGGAATGTGCAGAAGTTACTCTATCCTTAACTCCTGTAACCAGTCCGTTTGTATCAGTAATTAAAGTTCCTTCCTTTTTAGGAGTCAGCAATATTGTATATTCATTTTCATCCAGATCACAATTAGCTGCTGTATAATCACCGAGCTTGAAATGAAAGATGGTTTTGTCCCAAACAACACTGTTGAAGTTTCTAAGGTCGGTATCAGAGCTTAGTTCGACCTTTACATTGTAAGAACTTAAGGCAGATGCGGGTAGTTCAAATGCAGCTTTTACATTTTCATTGTATTGATTGTAAGAATAGAGTGTCTTACACCAGCCTGTTATCCAATTTCCTTGGTCATCCTGATACTTGACTGAGAGCTTTACATGGTCATCCGTGAATGGTTTTGTGAGTTTTCCTTCCATCACTACCAATCCTTTCTGATTCAAGTTCTGCTGGATAACAATTCGTGGATCGAGATCATAGACATAAGGGTTCACAACTTTACCCGTTATTTTTTCCATTGCTTTTTCCCCGTAATCGTGGGCGACAAATGTCCTGGAAGCAGCATGAACGGGCGCAACACACAGTATTGCAGTCAAAATCTTCAAAACAGACTTTTTCTGGCATCCCACCGATACTGTAAAAAAAAGAGAAAAAAAAGAGCCTTACAGTTTTCGTCCGAACAAAACTAAAAACTACCAGCACAATAGTACTATAGATCCGACAAAACTCGTATGTTATCAATATAGGTTGAATATGACTTAAAAGAGAAAAACAGGAACGAAACCTTCAAATTTTTCGCAGAGATTTTTGTGCAACTGCTTATGTAAGTATTTGAAAATGGGAAAACATTAGAAAAATAGTCTCATCTATTTGGGTAGTATCTGACTATAATATTACTATCTGATTGAGTAGGTACATAGAAATAGAAACGATCAGAATTCATTAAATGTTCTTTTTTGCTTTTTGTTCCTTTTTTCGGATGGCTGCGAAAGTGAGAAAAGTTCTTTCCGTTTTTTTCAATTCTCGGCTATTCTTTCATGATTTTGATCATTTTTTGCAAGTCAGTTTTACTTTTCCGTTTCTGAACGTAAATTAATATATTTGTTGCAAAGGTATCCAGACAGTAATGTAACGATATTAACAGCTATACATCCCCTTCATACGACTATTCTGACCTTTTCCGTGCATGTCTCGCCTCCGCATGCATTGGCACTCTTTCAGTTTTTCCCTTGCTTTGACATTTGCCTTCTCGTGGTGCTTTGTCCTTAGAAACAACATTAACACTTGCATGCTCACTCATATTTCATCCCATTCTTTCTATGTGTAATAGAGCACTTTTTTCTCGTCCTATAAAAAGGACGAGGAAGATGCATGTGAAGCACGGTTTCTTATATTCATTCTTCCATTGCACACAATTGCACACAGAAATCGACACAGTTCTCTCTATAGTATTTGTCACTATTCATCAGAATAAAACAGTTGTAAGAAAATATCACTTCCAACATCGAGATTTTTGAAGAATGATTTCACAAAAAATCTTGGAACATTTTGGACGGATAAATGAGTTCTCGATGAGTAGAGAAAAATGTCCTTTAGGCTCAAAATTTCAGAATGCTTCCCATGTACACGATAGTTGAGACATCAGAATAAAATAAATTAAAACAAAGTAAAGAGAATATAAATGGATACTTCGGTAACGAAAGTCAAAAACAGTCGAACTAGGAGCTTAATTGGACTCTTAAAAGCACAGTCTAAATGCAAACTTTTTAATACGTACAAGCACAAATGATCACCGCTAGGATGAGGCCGACTTGAAAAACTAGTTTGTTTTGCATATCGAATATTTTTTTCCAAACAAATCTGAATTCACAATGTGAAAAAATGAGATCCGTCTAGTTATATAGCTTTTTTCCTAGCTCCTGCGGAAATACCATAATCTCTTATTAATTTCGACTTACGTGTAACCGATATCGTCAATGTGCGACAATAAAATCAGGTTTTTGTTTATGACTAATTATCACTAATGCACTAGTCATCTTATATTTCATTCGATTAAAATTGCTTATTTGCAAGATGCAAGCGTTTCTTATTTCTAATCTTCACAGAAGTGACCAAATTCCTCGAAAATTAAACTCAAGATGACTTCAGAAATCAAATTTTAACAGATGATAATATATAGCAATAACGAACTGTAGAAACTCAAGTACTCATAGAAATGAAAGAATCCGAGAACGGGAGGCACAATTCGGATTGGGCAAATATAGGCGGGGTGAAAAGGCAGAGAAAACAATTACTCTCATCCTCATACCCTCAAGAAATATATGCTATGGATTTGTATTCTACTGGCTTCGCTCTCCATTCCTCGTTTATTTAAGAATATTAGTAAAAAGATATATTATAGTTTATTTCTAGTATGAACAAATAGCACTAACAGCGAAAAAGATGGCAATCCGGCTTTGTTTGTATCAGAATCGATGACTTATGCACTAGTGGTACTAGTCACAGATCCGTTCTAGTTGTCTATCATTGCACCACAGGCCATCGTTGTACCACTAGTCGGAAATGCATCTTCTCTATACACAAGTCCCTTTTTCATTCAACAACTTCCACCATTAAAGTTAGATCAAGTAAAATGAGTGCATCCCACAATAGCATCACATTTCGCAAAACAAGCTTCTAATGAAGTTCGAGCATTAGAAAGGTCATTATTAATGATATCGCAAGACATGACCTAATTTGCAATCCAATCGATATCACATTTTACAAAATGAACAAATAAAAAACCGGTGGTCAAAAGAATAGCCAAAGTACAAGAAGATAGTAGATTGACCATTTTATATTATCAGCTATAATTTTCCAGTATTATGCACCAATTCTGAAAATAGAAAATACTTTAAAAATCATTACAAATAGAACAACTTTGTTCCAATTTCTTTATATCTTACAGAATTCAATTTCGGAATATTTCATCTTAAGGAACACTACGAAGCTGTTAGATATAAGAGTTAATAGACAGGACTTTTTGTCAAACACTTGATTTATGATCATTACTGGCAAATAATGTTTGAAGAGAAACAAATATAAATGCATTCCTTTTTAAATGTACGTGCAAAAGAGGTCTGCTCGCGTATTATTCAGTTAGTTATTCTGCCTTCATCCTCTCTTTTTTCTTCTTATTCTTTCCTCTTTTGGATGTGGGTGCATTACATTTTGAATAGACCCGCATGCACGCGCACACCCAGTTTGCATGAAGTATTATGGATTGAGATACTCTTGTGCAGTTGTCATCCTGAACAACCGTACTATGATAAGACTTGAAATGTCCTGATTTTAATCAAGATTCTTGTTCTATTTATGAAATGTGTCCTGAGTGGTTTCCTGGTTTTCAGATATGGGCCACAGGTGTGGATGTGGGTGGGTGTGGCTGTGGCTGTGGCTGTGACTGTGGGTTTGGGTGTGGGTCTGAGGTGTGGGTGTAGAGTGTGGGTATGAGTGTGGGCGTGGATGTGCTTCTCTGTTTCCCTCATATACACTCCACACCCACATCTACACCTACACCTACACCCATCCACATCCACAACCACACCCACACCCACACCCACACCCACACCCACACCCACACCCTCGATTATTTTTCTGAACTTTTGCCGCAACAAGTGGTAAGTGTAATACGAACAGGTATGTCGTAATGTTCATCCATCTTTCCCACTTCTTTGACAGATAGAAAGCTTTTTTTACCAAAACACAGAAGGGTGTGAGTGTGGATGTGGGGTGTGTGTGTGTAGGTAGGTGCGCGTGTGGGTGGGTCTGAGTGTAGATGTGGGTATGGGTGTGGGCTGTAGTAACGAAGAACACACCCACAACCCATCCAAATCCACAGCCACGCCTACACCCACACCCACACCCACACCCACACCCACACCCCAACCCACACCCACACCCACACCCCACACCCACACGCCCCACACCCAAATCCACACCCACATCCATACACACACCCACACCCACACCCACGATACAGACGACACAGTAGTGTTTTCAACTAGATGCAGGCTATATCTGTACTAAATGGACGATTTTCGGATTATATCAAGGTTTTATTTGAGATATATATACTCGAAATTAGAAAACTGATAAAGAACTCAAGATTAATGGACAGTCAATTCAAGCGTTGCATTGCCTCTTGTTTTTCTGCTTTGAACCTATTGACAACACTTTTCCTTATCTTGTTTGAATTCTTTGAAAAGTACTTCTTGCCTTCGTCAGCACTTCGTTCTCTACAATAAAGAAATAAAGAGGCTATATATATTCCGGTGAAATATTTTACACAACGGACCCATATATACGCTTGATTAGTTCCCTGTCGGTCATCGTTTGGATGTCTTGACCTTTCAATGCATTGTTGATGACTTTTGCACCACCACCTGGC